ATATTGTTATACTTCGTATCTGCCTTTTCCTTTAGGGAATATCTATGGAAAAAATATAGGAAGTTTGAAGCTTGAAGAAGCGCTCGATTAGGAATTGACAATTGGAGGTCGCCAGATTCATCGAGAATTGCGCTGGGTTAGGATCTCTCCCGGAGACGGGCGATATATGAATCATAATAATTTGAAATAGGGGAGGGGGGAATAGTGGGGATGGCAGGTGATAGGGGAGAACAAAAAAATTCTCAAATCGACCCATTCGTCCAATCAGATCCAACCCACCTGTATTTATCATCAAAATTAAAGTTTAAGGTTGGATGAGGTTTTTCTTTTGTACAATCCGCCTCTATTGGGTTGGGTCTGAATTTTGGGTAACACAACCCGTAAAACACGACCCAACCCGAGTTGAACTATTGTCATAAGTGTTCGTATACAGCCCATATTTGTATCGTAAATAAACATATTTGTGAGAAAATTAAGCTATATTATCATATTTTTCTCTTGTGGTTTCTCTAGTCTAATACATTCTTCAACTTAATATTGAGAAGTAGATTTAATATAACCTATGATTTTTTCTTGTGTGCACAATTTTAGAAGAAGAATATATCGTGAATATGTTGGCTTATAACTACTATAGTTTACTTCAACAAATATTTATGTAAAAAACTAGATATATGTTGAAGTAAATTGCATTTCATTAAAATCAAAACAATATTTTTATGCATATTGAAAATTTTTGCCTCTATTTATTTGTTTAAAATCTTAATTAGTTATATAATATTTTCGTAGTGTATAATAGTTGTCTTTTTTGTGTTGGGTTGAATATTAATTAAAAGTATCTCCAACCCAACCCAACTCAATTATAAACAAACCGTAGGTTTTAATTTTTTTTTAGTTGGGTTGGGTTGGATTTAACATTTTCAAAACTGTAATATATGGGTCGGGTAATTAACATTGTCCCTCAATGTCTCAATACGTTAGTCGATTGGATGACACGTAATGCTCGTTTGAATCTTCTCTCGATGAAATGGGTTGTAATTACTGATCTTTTAGCTTCAGTATTGCAATCTTTCAATGTTTCCCCTTATTTGATTTGGAATAAAGATTCCACTATTTGTATGAAAAAGAAGATAGGTGATGGATGTTAGACTTAGTGAGATGGGAATTGTCCAATAAATAAAAAGGGATAATTAAAGTGGAACGCTGCATTGCAGTTATAGGTGTCAAAACATAGCCCGACCCGATTAACCCACCCGATCAACTCGATTCGCAACCCGATTTGACTAAAAGTCAACAACCCGTAACCCGCCCGACCCGCAACCCAACTAACCCGCTACCCGACTAACCCGCAACCTGATTAACCCGAACTCGATTGACCCGCAACCTGACTGACCCGCAACCCGATTAACCCAAACTCGATTGACCCGAACCCGACTAACCCGTAACCCGACCGACTCAACCCGAATTTCATCTAATCCACTTGAATAATTAAAAAAATATACAATACATAGTTTTTCAAAATAAAGTTTTTCATTCTAAACTTAAGTAAAATTATTTTTTCATTTTGTATAAGAAATTTGAAAAATATGAAACCCACTTGATATTACGTATTTTAAGAAAATTACAAAAATTGAAACATGAAGGTCACTTGAGATCATGACAATATTAATATAATATATAAATTAAAATTTTGGTTAATTTAACTATTCAATAAAATTATCAATTAAATATAAATAAAGTAAAGTAATGTATTTGGTAATTTGATATTTTTAAAAGAAGAGGGAAATTTTGGTGTATTCAAGTTTTTGGGAAGAGAAAGAAGAGGGAAATTTGGTTCTTTGAATTTTTTAGAAAAGAAACAAGTGGGAATTTTGGTGGTTTTGATATGTGGGAAGAGAAAGAAGTGGGAAAGTTTGATTCTTTTGATTATGAAAGAGAAATTAGGAGGGGAACTTTTGATTTTTCAACTTTTTGTAGAAGGAAAGAAGAGGGTAATTTGGTTCTTTCAATTTTATGGAAGAGAAAGAGGAGGGAAAGTTGAGTTTTTCTAATGTATGAAGGAGAAAGAAGGAGGAAAATTTTAGTATTTTTGTGAAAAGAAAGAAGGGAACAAATTTGGTGTTTTCAATTTTTTGGTTTTTCATAATTTTAACTTTTGAAATATGAACCTTTAACTTTTATATGAAGGGCATGACTAGTTAAAATTATTCTTATATGCTTTGAAGGATAATATGTATATATGTATGTAATTTTTTATGGGCTAATAAATAAATTAACCATTAGTTACAATAATTTATACTAAACTTGATAAGTAATCTTTGACGGTTCGTTGTTTATGATATAAAGTATATGGTTAGGGTATAAGGTATATATGGTTTAGGGTGTATATGGTTAGGATATAAGATATTGATGGTTTTGACGGTTCTAAGTTTTTTTATTAACATATGTTCACTTGAAGTCATTGGAAGTCTTTAACGGCAGGAGATCTCTTTTTAATTTATGTTTATGGTACGTGGTTAAGGTACAAGGTGTGTGGTGTAAAGTATATGATATATGGTTAGGGTATAACAATTAGAAAATATCACTTTTTATCTATGTTTTGAAAATCAAAGTATGAATTTCACTTTTAAATTAACTATACTAGCAAAATCACAACTCAAGGACATATGGTTAGGGTATAGGCAGTGGCGGATCCAGGAAATTTTTATAGGGGTGTCCTCTTCCAAAAATTAAATTTTAATTAAAAATTAAATTAAATTAAACAATTCATAAATCAAATAAATATCCGATTAGTGCAAATATACCATATTAGACAATGATTTCCAAACTGATCGCATATTCGATTTTTAACCTTGTTCCTGATGTAACTCAAACTTGAAAGACTCTTTCAACTCTTACACTATACCTATAAAATCAATTCAAATTAAGGATAGCTCGAATGAGTTTAATTGTTAAGTATTGAATATAATTGGGAATAAAGAATAGTGTTTTTTACTATAACATAGTGTTTAAAATAAAACAACAAATGAGTTGCAACCTAGAGAATATGTTTAATAATAGTAGTGTCATAGGTTTGAATAACACAGACTACTACTTATATATTTTTAATCATACGCAAACTACTACCGAGAACATGATTATCTTTTTTCAAAATTTAAGGGTGTCCCGGATTACCAATTATATTTTTTTTATTCATACGAAACTATTACCGGAAGTTGAATAATCATTTTCCCAAATTTTAGGGGTGTCCCGACCCATGTATCCGCCACTGGCTATAGGTTATGTGGTTAGTGTATAATGTATTGATGGTTTAGGGTATACAATCAACAATATATGCTAACTTAATATTGTTGATTGAGGGTAAAGCTAAGTGTATAGGATATATGCTATTGAGTAAGTTATGATTGAATTCACAATAATTTTACTAAATTTGATAACTAATCTTTAATGGTTCAATTTTTAGGATAATTCGAACAATTTTACAAATAACTCGTTTGGCAACAGTTTACTAAAGTTATTTGGGCAATGAGTTATTTTGAAATAACTCCTTTTATCACTATGCTTTTGCCAAATACCACACGCCAAATACCAGATTTGCATGGTATACTAAACGAGATACTTTAATCCAATTACTACTGAATTAATACTAAAATATCAAATAAACAATTAACGGTATCTTTTGGTTGCAAATATTGATATCACCATTACTATTAGCTATAATACTTTACCAATTATGATTAATTACATAACAAGTTTGCAAGTCATACAAATTGATTTAACATTTTGACTAGTTTTTTCAAAAAAATAAAGTATATATATACAAGGTAGAAATAAATTGGTTAAAAAGTTGAGAGAATATTTTAAATTAGTGTAATAAAATGTGTAAGTTGGTAATGAATAATGAGTTAAGTTACTTGATGCGCTGGCCCGAACAACCCGAAACCCGATCCGCCCTCAACCCGCCCGATCCAAAACCCGATGAACCCGCAACCCGATTTGCCCGCAACCCGATTGAATCCGAACCCGATGAACCCGCAACCCGACTAACCCGCAACCCGTTTGAACCCGAACCCGATGAACCCGAACCCGATGAACCCTCAACCCGACTAACCCGCAACTCGTTTGAACCCGAACCCGATTGAACCCAGTCCGAACCCGCCCGAACCCGCCCGATTGACACCTATAATTGCAGTGAGATGTTTATGGGTTCTTTGAAACAACTAAAATATTATTTAACTTACTACTATTAATTAAAATTAAGATGAATAATATATATTTATATTTTAGTAATTTTATAACAATAAATTTATTGATGCATAATGAAGGTGTGTTGGATGCAATTATCGAGCAGTGTCGGAGGTCTTGAGTTAAATTTTTTTTATCGGAAAAACGTAAGTGTTTTACAAAATTTTCGATCAGAGATGTGTCGGATGACACACCTAGTCAACACCTGGGTATGCTCAATTTGACAAATGGATTGAATTTCTTTATAGATAAATTTGTAGATTGGATTAGTGGATTGGTTCCATTGATTTAAGTGTCATTACATTGGACCACTATACAAATTTTGAAAAGTTAAGGTACCTATCTTAAATAATATTTCACACATTATCCAAAAAAAATCACACATCATTTGATGTTATCAAGTTGACCGGGTAGGGCTTATCACCGGTATACATACCGGTTTATGCCGGTTTAAGAAAATATGTATAAAAAATAATAAAACATTCATAAAAAAATATAAACCCTAATTTATATCCCCAATCTGCCACCGCCCCAGCACTAGGCTCGCACAAGCACCACCCATCAACCCTTCCTCCTTTACCCTTCTACATAGAATGTCATGCCCAACCAAACCCTCCCAATTTTCATCTATTTTTGGCTACCCTCAACAGAGATTATCTACAAACAGATTGCAGAGGGAGGAAGATGCGGTGGCGTCGCCGGGAGGAAGATGCGCCAGGAGGAAGATGACATGGAATTGGTAGCTTCGCCGGAGGAAGATGCGGTGGCCGGTGGCGTCACCAGAGGAAGACGCGCCGGGAGGAAGTAGATCTTGGGAGCTCGCCTGCAAGAGGAAGACGCGCCGAGGAAATACGTCACCAGAGGAAGACGCGACGAGAGAAAGAGTTGCTCGATCAAGACCTTGTGATGAGGCGAAGAAGACTAGGGATCGAGGATGGGTCTTGGGAGCTCGCCTGCAAAATCCCTAAGTGCAGCCTAATCCATTTCGACAGAACGACGGCAGATTGCTTATCAGGCCGGCATTTTCTATTCCGGTTGAACCACTGACATTCCGGATTTTGACCTGGTTTGACCGGTATTGACCGGAATTGACCAGAGGGTTATGCCGGTGGTATTCCAGCCGGTTTCATCACCGGCACCGGTTGAACCTGGTTCAACCGGCCGGCATACCACTGGCATGACAACCAACTTAGTTGACTAATGTAAGCCATGATAATTTAGCCAAAATGACAATTTGTGCCATAATACACATCCCGTTACGCGATGGATAAGTAATGACCAATCAAATACCGACACCAACGGAACGGAACGGACTTTATAATTTCATGACAATCCAGCACACTGATGTTATTGGGAGTGTTCTCCGTACAAAATAATTCCAATTGCCCACCGAATCAATGTCCCCATCCCCCCAAATATTTGAAAAAGAATCCTCTTCCTTCTCCCCATCTCGGTCAAAATCCCGAGATACCCCTTTACCACAAAGTAAAACAGAGAGACCATTTTTCTTTTGTTTTTTTTTTCCCTAGAAAATTATAAAAGAAGACGAGAAAAATCATAACACATCGCCAATGAACAAAGAAGAAACTTAACAAGAATCACGAAACCATATAATTGTGATTCAGAATAAATCATAATCAACACTCATGACCTAAGGAGGGGCCTTCTCGTCAATTGGAAGCGAGATCGGGATACCGTGCGCACCGCCTCGACATCGTAACCATGCACCCGTCCTTGGGGCAGATCGTGGGGTTGTACACGATCTCATCGCAGCCGTCGGTCCGGTGCCTCTTGAAATCCAGCAGCGTGCAGAACATGGCGATAAAAAGCACCAGATGGTTCAGCGCATACCTCTGGCCCACGCACTGGTGGGCCCCGGCCCCAAACGCCAGGAAGTTCCTCTTGTACAGCTGGTCCTCGGCCCGGCCCTCCGAGAACCGGTCCGGGTCGAACCGCTCCGCCTCCGTGAACCCTTGGAACGAGCTGTCGTAAACTGACGGGAAAACGATCGTCCCCTTGGGCACCGTGTACGACTCCGTCAGCGGGAAGTCCCGCATCGCCACGTGTGGGACCATCGTCGCGGGCGGCCTGTACCTTATCACCTCACGCGCCACCATCTGCGTGTACTTCATCTCCCGGATCTGCTCCGTCGTTATCAGCCCGTCAGATTCCGGCGACCACACGCGCTCCACCTCCTCCCGGACTCTCGACAGGACGTCAGGATGAGAATCCAGCAGCGAGACCGCCCAGAGAAGCGAAGACGTCGACGCGTCTTGCGCCGCGAATAGGAAGTCGAAGAGGTGACCTCCGATCTCGACGTCGCCGGGGTGCGACGGCTCGGCGTCGCCGGCGGCCTTCGCCGCCGCGATTTCCCTCAGCGTCTCCTGCATCCAGAAATCCACCAAACAAGTCGGCTCCTCGTCGCCGGCCTCCATCTTGCTTTTACACTGCCTGGCGCAATCGGCGAGCGTGTTTACTAACCGGTCAACTGCGCGAATCGCCTTTCTAAACGCGAATCCGGGGAGGTCAAAAGGGAGGCTCATCGAGCCGACGTTGAACAGATTGTAATCCTCCCTGAACCTGGCCCGATCCTGGGGCTTCAAATAGGGCCCGACGAAGACGGTCTGAGAGGTCTCAAGATTCATTTCCCTAGCGAGGAGGCGGAGCGGGATGGGCCGGGTCGGGTCCCGAGAGCAGAGCTCCTCCCACTGCTTCAAGTGCTTGAGGATTATCATCTGTTGAAGGTCGGTGTAGGTGGAGAGGGCGCGCGGGGTGAAATTGGGGGCAATCCGACGGCGGAGGTCCTTGTGGTCCTGGCCGAACATGTAGATGAGATTGTGCTCACCGAAGAGCTTCTTGCCGAACGGGTGCCCGACGAGCTTGAAGGCGTCGGGCCGGACATTGGAGAAAATCAGGTTGCTGAGATTGGAGTCGCGTATGTAGAGAATGAAGTTGCCGACGATGTAGTTGGCGGAGTAGCCGAGGGAGGCGCTGAAGGCGGATTGGGCGTCCCAGAATTTGGTGGGATTGGTGACGACGGAGATTGCGCCGCCGAGGAAAGGGAGGACGAAAGTCGGCCCCGGGAGGTGGCGTTTCTTGAAGAGGTAGGAGATCTGCTCGATTAGGGCGAGGAGGATTAGGGAAGAGAAGAGGTAAGGGAGGATGGCGGAAAAGGAAAGGAACATCGTCGGCGGTTATTGTGGGGGAAGAGAGCGACGTCCGTGTATCAATATGGAAAGGTGGGTTAGATTTGGGGGGGAATATGTTTGTTTCGGCAGTTGTTGTACTGGAGAAGGGGAATTGGGAAGTCAAAGGTAGATCGAGAGGACGGTCAGCGGCGGCGGCTGTATTTGAGCAGCAACGATGGTGAGTAAATGAGTGTGGGAAGTGTTAGGACGGGGAAAGCGGGAGACGGAGGTTTTGCTGGTCGGAGCTCGCTCAGCCGATTTATGAATCAGTGAGCGAGCTGTGTGGCGGGGAGAGACGAGAGAGAGAGAGAGAAGGGAAGGAACAGCTAGGTAATGGAGGATGTGATGTGGCAGTATCGATAAAAGCCAGAGCCCAGAGCCTTTTTGAAATTAAATACCGAGAGAAAAGGAAAGGAAAGTTGGTTTTGTATGGCAGAGTGGCAGTCATTTCTTTTATTTTATTTTGACGAGAAAAGGGAAGGAGGAGAATGGTGGTCAGATATGGTGTCGGGTCGGGGACTGGCCGGTTTCCCGGTTCTGGCTTTGACTTCTCCCTGCAGCTATATGAATGGACATCGAGGGGAGGTTGTGGTAAAAGTCGCGAGGACCACCGCCGACGGTGGATTTCCCACTGGGCTCGTGTATTTATGTTTTCTCATGAGGAAAATATATCGAGCACCACTTAAATTCGAGAGTTAGGTCATACATACCATTTAATTTTGAATTGAATAGTGCGTTGGTTACATTAAACTCACCAAAACGTGCATACGTCTAGTTTTTTATCCAGTCAAAAATTTTAATTATCTTTTAGTACCCAAATTTTTTTAAAACATCCAAAACTATATTTCAACAAGTATTATCTAATATAAAAGGGTTAATATATTTGTATGACCTGAGCTTTTCACATAATAAACATCCTGACCAATTTTTTCGATCTATAACATCATGGCCTGAACTATACACCAAAGTAACGAAATTGGTCAAACCCGAAAATTGACCGTTATCTTGGATGGTCAAACGCGTTGACTAACGGTCAACGCGCCACGTCAACACCTTTCACTTAATAGGTGGAAAATATAATTTTTTTAAGTGAAACGTGCTAACCTGGCGCGTTGACCGTTAGTCAACGCATTTGACCGTCCAAGATGACTGTCAATATTCGGGTTTGGCCAATTTCTCTACTTTGGTGTATAGTTCAGGCCATGATGTTATAGATCGAAAAGATTGTCCATGATGTTATAGATCAAAAATTTCAGGCCATATGTTAACCCAATATAAAAAATAAAAAAACCTTCTAAACATAGTATTATTAGGATTACTAATGAATTTTTTCAATAAAATAGATAAATTCATAAAAATAATAAACGAATATCATGAAAGAATAATAAATATATAAAATCAATATTGGAATATCTATTTGAACTCCTTATACAATTAGAAGTAAAACTAAAAACAGTTAAAATGGAATCTAATTGACCATAAATACATCAGATTATTTATATCGAGACAGAATTCATAGTATATATGTGCTTAGGGGAATAATTTAATTAATAGAACACATAATGATAATTAAAAATATGTATAATAATAATTTATTTTTAAATTTCTTATTAAAAAATTGGTTTGGTATAAAACATAGTTTTCAAAAGATTATTCCAACTAAATAATAAAAAAATAATGTTTTTCATAAGTACAAATGAGTTTTTACAATAAAAAAATTAGAAGAACCAATTCTGAAATTTAGAAAATGAAATATTCCAAAAATATTTTGTCAACTTTAACGGAATGCACTTGACAGTAAACTTAAGTCGTATCGGGTGCACATATAATACAGTTCAATGGCACGCGATGCCCTATTCTTACTTAAGTGGTATAGCTCCCCCAATTCTTATACTATGGTACCCGAGGTATTTTACATGTTTAATGAATGAACTCTATTAAAAGTACTTCTCTCCTTTCAGGTACTAAATCAAATATGGTTGATGTGATTTTAATAGGATTATATTATTTGGCGACTACTCGAAGTCATGGGTCTTGCTGCTTTAATCTGGATATGGTTTGTAATATTATCATTTATCATATTGAATTAGGATAAGATCACATACTATAAATACTTCTTATATTCTTGTCTAATTTGTGTCTTTGCGTTAGTGAACCACAAAATCTATGTGTCTTGTTTCGTTTCTTGCTTTCATTTTTTTGTTTTGTCGATTATCTGATTGCCCCATACGTAGAAACAGTCACGACAAATATGACACTAACATCTATTATTAAAATCAAACTAACATAATTATTATGAGTATTATAATAAATACTGTAGATAGTAGTTACCATCCCTTCCTCGCCCACGTTTTTCTCTCGCCCCTCCACTTCCCCTGTAAAAAGCACCTTACTTGTAAAATGCAATTATTTTACCGTTATAAAAAAAAAATTTCATCATTATAATTTATTTATTACTTGTCATTCCTTATAAAGTTTTGGGTGTGCCTACGGTGACATGCATGTCACGGTGACTTGCACTTTCCGGTCGACCTCATTTACAATTCGGTCGACCTCATATAAGATATGGTCTACCTCATATAGGATCAAGTCGACCTAATCTGTTGTTTCATTGTAAAAACAGTTCATGGTGCCTACTTTGGATATTTATATCATACAATTGGCTAGATGAAACTAATGACTTGTTTTGAAGCTGGAGTGTTCCTCTACATATTGAAGTGGAAGAGAGCTCGATAGGAAGTTCAGAAGACCATTTTTGAACCTCATCAAAAGGCTATGCCAAAACTGGAAAACTGCCTGGAAATGGTTAAGTCTGGAAATGTGTTTGTGAAGCCTATTTTGGAGCTCAATTCGAGAAGCATGAATGCGAGTCGAGTCCACGAGCCTCTACCACGTTAAATTAGGTATATTTTTATACAAATTCAAGGCATTGGATGAAAGATTGGATATCTGTAAGGCTTCAAACAAAAGGGTCGAAGTTGCTACGAAGGCTGTTTTTCTGGCAGACTTCGAGCACAAGCAAGCTGCCAGAAAAACAGCCTTCGTAGCAACTTCGAGCCTTTTGTTTGAAGCCTTACAGATATCCAATCTTTCATCCAATGCCTTGCCTTTGTATAATAAAATACGTAATTTAACGTGGTAGAGGCTCCTGGACTTGACTCGCATCCATGCTTCTCAAATTGAGCTCCAAAGTAGGCTTGACAAACACGTTGCCAGACTTGGCCATTTTCAGGCAGTTTCCCAATTTTGGCATAGCCTTTTGGTCAGGTTCAAAAATGGTTTTCTGGACTTTCTATTGAGCTCCCAAGTACTTTAATGTGTAGAGGGACACTTCAGCTTCAAAACAAGCCCTTAGTCTCCAATTTCCATCTAGCCAATTGTAAGATATGAATCTCCAAAGTAGGCACCATGAAACTGATTTTACACTGAAACAACAGATTAGGTCGACCTAATCCTATATGAGGTCGACCGAAAAGTGCATGTCACCGTAGCAAAGTCCTAAAGTTTTTGATTTGCTTCATGACGTCTATTGTGTGGTTTCTCGTCTTTCTAGTGTACTTTAAGAGAGTTCTCATATGATTGCACATATTTCAATTTTGTTTCATGAAATTTGTGGTATTTGCTTTATGATGTTTCTGGCCTGTTTCATTGAACTTTTCATAAGCCTTCTATGATTGGAAAAATACACCTGTATAGCCATGACTTTCACGTTTGTGACAAATATAGCCATAATTATTCGAAAACAAAAAATAACCAATTCCGTCCACTTTGTTAACAGTGTCAGTTGACGGTATGACTGTACTAACGGAATATGCTGATCTGGCGATTTATTGTCCCGCTAACTGACGTGGATTAACAAAAAAAATTTGAAATAAAAAAAAAAACAAAAATATTTTCCCCTGAATTAGGATTTCTTCCACCGCCTCTTATTCCCTCCTAATTTGCCTCCGCTGCTTCCAATCTCCTTCTCTTCCACTGCCGCTTCCTCTCACCGATCTCACCCCCTCTTCCGCTCTCTCCAACCCTTAGCCGCCGTCGCCTACTTCCCTACCTTCAACGAAAAAGAAGAGAAGAATACGGATGCAGGGATATGATCCAACGGCACCGACGCAGCATAGAAAAAGCTTCATCTTCCTCCCGTACTCCTCTACCCCTATCCCCACCATTACCCAGCAACCCTAAATTGGCGCCACCGTCATCAACATCATCTTCATCCCAGCAACCCGCAACCTTATTCCCCACCAATTACCCAGCAACCCACAAACCTAAATCGCCGCCACCACCTTCACCTATGGGAAAATCAAGAAGCAGCTGTGACCCTCACCACCACCCACAGCGCTGAACTCCCCCATCGTTGGCGGTGGCTGGTTACGGTTGTGCCGACTGCGTTGAGGACTGCGCCGCTACGGTGGACCTCCCTGAAAGGGAACCTGAAATTGGGGGAAATTTCATCGATAGAGGAGGCGACGAGCCAAGACTCGTAGCCGCGGCGTTGGAGTCGGCGAAGGATCTGGATCCGAGTCCAGGGATGGCTTTCGGGCGGCGAGGATGGGGTTTGTGTCGAGCTTCCGCCGCATGAGACGAATGGTGGTGCTAGTTGCTAGAATCAATCTATCATTCCTCTTCCGCTAAACCATCCAGATCTCTGCTTCCTTTTCTGGGTTCAAGGTTCCTTCTCTCGCTCTGTTCTCCTGGATCGCTTTCAGCTGCTGGGTTCGCGAGGCTTGTCATCGGGGTTTCTTCTGGTTTTGAGCAAGGTTCTAGTCGGATTGGGTCAACGGAGGAGACGCCTTTTCATCTCGATGAAAGAGGGGAAGGAGACGCCTTTTCATCTCCTTTTTTCTGTTTTATTATTTTTGGTTTTTTTAATTAGTTAATTAATTTATTAACTAATTTATTTTTAAATTAAAATATGACATGGCACATACGTGGCAAGTGTGGTTGAGTTGTCGCTAACATGTAGGATGATTTGGCATCCTAGTCAGCCTAACGTTAACCTAACTGACGGAGTTTCTAACGCCGTTAAAGTTTCTAACGAAAATGGCTAGATTTGTCACACAACCATCTATTTTTTTGGCTATTTTGTGTTTTCCGATAGTTATGGATATATTTGTCACAAACGTGAAAGTTATGGCTATACAAGTGTATTTTGCCTCTATGATTTCTGATCTATTTCATGAAACTTGTAGTGTGCTTTATGAGGTTTCTAGTATGGTTTGGGGAATTTATGGTGTATTTTGTGAGATTTCTGGCATGTTCTAGGGAGTTTGTGATATGCTTTATGTGATTTTTTTGTATGATTCATGAAACTTGTGGCATGATTTATGCGGTTTCTCGGTGCTTCGGGGAACTTGTGGTATGTTTTATAAGGTTTCTGGTATGTTTCATAAAACTTATGGTGTGCTTTATAAAATTTATCGTGTGCTTCAAGGAACTTATAGTATGCTTCTATGAGATTTTTTATATGATTCAGAGAACTTGTGACGTGTTTTATGAGGTTTATGACCTACTCTGGGGAACTAGTGGTATGATTTACAAGGTTTCTTGTATGATTCACGAGGTTTCTCGCTGTTTCAGGGAACTTGTGGTATGCTTTATTAGGTTTTTGGTCTACTTCAACGAGCTTGTGGTATGTTTTATGAGAATTCTGATATGCCTTATAAGGTTTTTGGTCCGCTTTGAGAAACTTGTGGTCCGATTTGAGTTTTCTAGTATGATTTAGGATTTATATGGCGTGGTGATATTCTTGTCTGTTTATAAGCTTTTTGGCCTACTTTATGCTATTTGTGGTGTGATTTGTTATGTTTATGGTCTGCTTAGTTATACTTGTCACGAGGTGCGGTACGCGAAATAAATGAGCAGCGCAACACACATGTGCTCTCCTTAATTTTTTTTACATGACAAGCATGCCCCTCTTTTATTAAAAATCATCATTAATTGTGGTCAACCTATTGAATATAAAAATAGTCATCACAATAAAAGAATTTATTTTCAAAAATTAGTGTTAGCACCTTGTGGACAAATTGTGTAAAACACCCTAACCTCTGCCCTTTTTAGCAAGGTTATGATCAATGTAGATTATAGGTGGCTTGAAAAAAATTGGTTGATAATATTCGAATTAAATATTTGATGTGGTGTAAATTTGAATTTGATCTAGTGATAAATTTGAATTTCATGATGTGCTTCTTTTCACCATAGACTTAAAAAAAGGACAAAAAAATTTACCGTAGCTCTGGCTCAGTTAGACAAACGGTTTCTAACCAAGGGGAGTGCTGGTCAGTCTGGTCAGATATGGTGTCGGGTCGGGGACTGGCTGGTTTCCGGTTCTTCCTTTGACTTCGTGTCTTCTTACAGGATTTCCCACGCAGCTCATATATTTAAATTTTAAAATTTACCCTTTCTTCTAATTTTATTTTTTACTCATTTTTTCGTTGAATTTACTTTTTCTCATTTTAGCAAAGTTTAGATTATATTGCCATAGGTTATATGCAAGCTTGG